GAGCAGTCGGTTGCGATGCAATTGTGTCCAGCCCTGACCGGTAGTGCTTATGCGGCCCTGCGGAGAAGCTGCCTCTGCCCTACACGCCATGGCGTTGTTGCAGGTTCATCAGGCCAAGGCACTGAAGGACCTGCACGAGGGTGGGCATGACCCAGAAGTTCTTAAGGAGCTCCACACCGCTACTGACCTCGCGCTACGAGCGACAAAGGTCACTGCGTGGTCTCTGGACCGTGCGATGTCCACTATGGTGGTTCAGGAATGCCATATCTGGCTGTGTCGGGCCGACATGAGGGAGACCGACAAGACTCAGTTTTTAAATGCCCCTGTGTCCCAGACCGACCTCTTCGGCGACGCAGTGGAGAACATCGCCCAGCAGTTCTCCGCCACACAGAAGCAGACTGAGGCTATCAAACACATCCTGCCCCGGCGGGCAACTGCTGCCTCCACCCGGCCACCAGCGGCAGTGCCTCAGTCTGCTGGTTGCGGATGGTCACTCAGCTCACTCAGACCCCTCTTCGGTCCGCCCATGGACCGGATCCCTGCATTCCAACTTGCTGCCCCACTGCGAGTACGTCAGTGGTCCTGCTGGTCCAGCTTGTACGGTGTCTGGGTGCCTAGCTACCCAAACCGTCTCGCTGGCTCCTGCGGACCATCAAACTCGGCTATGCAATTCAGTTTGCCTGGCGTCCCCCCAAGTTCAGCGGCATCCGCTTCACATTAGTGAAGGCGGCCGATGCTCCTGTCTTGCGTGTGGAGATCGCAGTCCTACTGGTGAAGGATGTGTAAGATGCAGTCCCTCCAGCTGATATGAAGAAATCGTCATATCAGCTGGAGGGACCGGCTCTAACACATCCTTCACCAGTAGGACTGTGATCTCCACAGCCCCTTTTACAGCCCCTACTTCATTGTACCCAAGAATGGCGGTGGGTTATGACCGATCTTGGACCTGCGTCTCTTGAACCGGGCCCTTCATCGGTTACCGTTCAAGATGTTGACACAGAAACGCATCTTTGGGTGCATCCGTCCCCGAGATTGGTTTTGCAATGGTCGACCTGAAGGATGCGTGCTTTCATGTGTCGATCCTCAGACCATTGCTGCGGTTCGCGTTCAAAGGACGAGCATATCAGTACAAGGTCCTGCCCTCCGGGCTGTCCCTGTCGCCCCGTGTCTTCACGAAAGTTCTGGAGGTAAACCCTTGTTCCCCTGAGAGAGCAGGGCATCCGCATTCTCAACTATCTCGACGACTGGCTCATACTAGCTTAGTCTCACGATCAGTTGTGCGAATACAGGGACTTGGTGCTCTCACACCTCAGCCGGTTGGGCCTTCAGGTCAATTGGGAAAAGAGCAAGGATCTCTTTTCTCAGTATGGAGTTGGATTCGGTCGAATAGACAGCACGCCTCATGCAGGGACGTGCTCAGTCGGTGTTGAACTGCCTGAATATGTTCAAGAGCAGGACGGCGGTCCCACTGAAATGGTTTCAGAGGCTCCTGGGGCATATGACATCTGCAGCGGCAGTTACGCCGCTAAGGCTGCTTCATATGAGACCGCTTCAACACTGGCTCTATGTGACTGGCCGAGTCCCAAGGTGGGCGTAGAACAGGTCTCCAGGCATGCTGTGCTTTTACACAGATGTCTCCACCACCGGCTGGGGGGCCACGTATAACGGGCATGCAGTATCGGGGATTTGGACCCCCAGTTGGCCCCCAACTGCACTGGCACATCAACTGTCTAGAGTTGTTAGCAGTACGCCTTGCCTTGAACCGTCTCTGAGGACTCTTATGAGGCAAGCACGTGCTGGTCCGCACAGACAACACTGCAACCTTTGCTTACATCAACCAACAAGGTGGTCTATGCTCCCATCGCATGTCACAACTCGCCCGCCACCTCATCCTCTGGAGTCAGAAGCATCTGAGGTCGTTTCGTGCCATTCACATACCGGGCTTGCACAACCGGGCAGCCGACGAGCTGTCACAGGCTGCGCTCCCCGGGGAATGGAGATTTGAGATGTTTCGGAGCCACTCAGGTAGACCTGTTTGTGTCTCCAGAGACTTCTCACTGCCAGTTGTTTTACTCCCTGACCGAAGGAAC